TTTGCTGAATAAAGGAAAATTGAAGCATATGGCATTTCATAGTTAGAAAAACCTAAACTTATACAGTAATTATCAGTTTGTAATTACAATAATGAAAATTAGAATAACAGATTTATAATGATTTTATCAAACCATTATAAAGTTAACATCTATCAGCAGGGCTGAATATATGCCAAGTCCTTTTTTATAGCTTTACATATAGTAGCTCACTTAATCCTCACAATAACCCTATGAAATAGGAATGATTGTTTCCCTCCTCTGACATCTAATAGTAACAGAGAGAGAGAGAGAAGGAACTTGCCAACAGTCACGCTATAAGAAGTATTGAGATGCCCTTTAAACCCAGGTGGTGTGACTCCTAAATCAATACCCTTAACCTCTATCTAGTCACTTTGATAAATACAATGTAATTGAGTTTTTAAAGGCTTTATACCTTTAAAGTAACAAAATCCTTTCTATCCAAATGCATGTTTTTTAAAATTCTGTGAGCAGACTCATTGCCGTATACACTCCACAATTAAATATGTCTCAACCCTTCACTAACTTCAGTGATATTTTTTGCTTGATGGTATGCATGACAAATTCTTTTTTATCTCTCTGAAAATGCAAGACTTTAGATGAATACACTAACATAGCTCTGCGTAGTCAAGGAGGGGGATGGTGAAATCCAGAAAAATAAATTAAGTGTGTCTTGGGAGTGCGATGGTCCATTTCTGGCAAAGAGCAAAATAGTTGTTATGTGACATGCTCTTATTTGAGATGATCTTTTAAGTTTGGTGATGACTAACAATCTGAATCAATCGGTATGAACAAAATTTAAGAATAGAAAGAAAACAAAAGTACTTTAATTGTTCTTTGTATCAAGGCAATACATTTGTTATTTATAACTATAAAAAAACATACTAATTTTCACAAAAAGCTTAAGATCCTGCATGTTCAGCAGCCACAGATCCACATAACAACCATGAAATGCACAAATAAAAATCCTACATAAAAAGAATATTAGAGAGGCCTGCCTGAAACAGAAAGAAATGAAAAAAAGTTCTGAGTAAATGTCTCGCTAGATAGCCAATTCTGTGTTCAGAGCCATCTGCTCATTTCCATGCTCCATATCACTGTCCTCACCAGCATAGACCTGGGCATGGTTTTGGTCCCTTAATTAAGTGAAGTCAATGTGGAATGGTAGGGATGGGCAGTTTAACCATTAAGGTAGCTTCCCATCAATTGAAGTTCCAAAAGGATCTTGCACTAGGGAAACTCAAATGTTCCCTTGAAAGACCTCTGCATTTATTTACTAAACCTTAATTTCACAACTTCTGTTCATATAATCAAAGGGATAGATATCATTGTTTACAGATGAAGAAATGTGGTAGTTGAGATCTGCATGTATAAAGCCAAAGAGCCTGTTCCATACTGGAAATGGAATGCGAAGTCAAGCATTTTGAAACACAATCTTGTTCTACTACATAGTCGCCATGTGACCTTGAGATAGAAAATATAACTTAGTTTTGATTTCCTCCATTAGTAAACTAGAGTAATGAATATCAGAGTTCAGTCCTTGCTACTGAGTTTTTTGCTAAAATTAAAAAAAAAAAAATCTGAAACTTTAACGATCTACCCTTCTTTGTGTTATGCTCTCTGATTTTGTAATTGGTGCTTTAGTCGCTCAAGCCAAAAATTGAAGATATTCTGTAAATCTGTCTTAAATGGTCAAACTATGTACCAATTATATCTCTTAATGCCTCAGGATTTGCTTCCCTATTTAACCTCTCATTGACTTTATTTAAGTAAGTCTGTCACCATGTCAATTATGGATAACTGCAACTCCCTTAACAACCTGTTCCAACCCTTGCAACCATCCGCCATACTGCCAACGCGATCATCATAATCAGAAATATGATGTCAACTTTCCTTTGAGGTTCCTGCATATCTTTCAGTTTAAGAAGCTGAAACATCTTAGCACAGCAGAAGACCCCTGAGCCTACGTCATGTCTTCCTCCTGAGTCTACCTTGTGTTAAGTTAAACTGATCAACTTAGTCCTATGCTAGGCTGTCAGAATCCCCAAGTCGTTGGCCTTTATGTATCCCTTCAATACCATCTAATTAATCCTTTCCTTCTTCAGCACTCACATTTTCACCTCACCCTCCAAGAAAGGAAAAATAGCATTGCACACCCAATAGCGTACATGCAATACATACAAAAAACATTCTCACAAAAGGAGTATATAACATATAAAAGGGAACATGGTCTATTTCTAGGACATTCGTAACCTTGAACTCAGTTTGTTCTTCATCACTTACCGATCCCTATGGAGAATTCATTTGAAAAGGGGTCTGCTCTCTTGTTCACACTAAATTGTACTCATGCCTCACACTAATATATTCTCAAGGAGGACGTTTTGTTGATGTGGTTGCAAAGAGGGTAGAAAATGCTTAGAAGTGCTGAATGTCTACCCCTCTGCTGCCTGCCTCACATCCAGCCCATCATCAGGGCATTCAAGTGCAGGAGTAAATGCAGCTGCTGCTGTCTTGGGTTGGAAATGAACTGACGAATGTGAATGTGTTGATGGCAGAGAGAAATCAAGACCCTGGGAAATGGGAGCTCATGTCTTGCCCAGAAATTAGTCCAGATAGTATCTGAGCAGTGGCTTTGTTTCAGGCTGTGGTCAGCTATTGATAAGCTGGTAAGTTGATTGCATACTATATTGATTTTACTTTAAGATTAGGTAATGTTTAATTTTAGTGGATTAAAAATATAGAAGAACTGAAGATGACTTACACTTTAACTTTGTGTAACATGTTATATACTACCAGCTTTTGAACTCCACGGTTGCTTGCATGCTGCCCTCTCAGCAAAGTCAGGCATCCTTAAGCTTGTTAGCATCTGCAAAAATGCTAACTTTGCTCCAGGATGTGGGTGACCAGTTGGCCACACCAGTCCTGGGTCACCCTCAGTTTGCTTGCATCTGGCCTGTGACATGCCTTCTTTTGGTCTCAGAATTCTCCCAATTTGAAAAACAAATGTTAGTTGGCAGTATCCCTAGGAGAACTAAACAGAGCTCCAGACTTCTCTCTGAAATTCTTGAAAGGGAAAACTGAGCTCATTGCTGGACTACCAAAGAGACCCAATGTATATTAGGCAGGGACATTCTATGAGGAAGAAATGTTTGAGATCTAAGACTGGTCAGGTTATAGAGGTGAAAGGGGCTTTTTAAATTTTCATATTCTCTAAGGTTCTGAGCCTGGCAGCTAATTTTAGGATCAACTAAATGACCAGTGTCTTCAGTATGATGAAAGAGGATGATGTTAATAGAAATTTGACTACAGGAATCAGTAGGGCTAAGCCTTGGAAGCCATATCAATGATTGTTAGTCTTTCTATGAGAAATAGCAAGAAAAATACTGCAATATTTAAGTGACATGGATCTCAGTTATATTGCTTTATTTAAAAAAAATATTCTGACATCTATGTAGATAATGGTATAGGGTGGATTTGGGTGCTTGAACAGCAATTTGAGGGTGAAGATCCTTAACAAACTAAGGAGATAGTAGCATGAGAAACCGTGGAAATGTAACTGTAGTAGGGGAAAGTAGGACTGTTTATTTTTTAGGAATTAACAGGTTTAAAATTGATAATTTTTTGCCCTGACTATATCTATTCATATCAAATCAAAAAGGCATCTAAAAATCATCTCTATGAACAGATGAAAATTGCATCCTTTAATTTACACATAGTCCTGTTTGTCCTTCATCGCTACAAAGACACCCTCAAAGAGGGCGATTTTTGACCTTATGTTTCAACAGAACAGATCAGAGTAATATGAGAAGGTAGAGTGCCAGGAGGGAAAGGTCTTTCCAGAGGCACAACTTATTCCAAGGAGTCAAAATCATCAGACCAGCACCCCACCCTTCACTAAACATCCCTTCCCCTTTTTAAATCTTATTAGAGAGTCAATCTAGGACTCCAGTAAGAAGTGATTCTGCCATCCTGACAATTTAACACTCAGATGAACTCAGATGAATTTACAAATGGAGCTACCTCTGTTTGCAAATTAGTGTCTAAATATTATCAATTTTGTAAGCCTTTGGAACTTATCCTAATGGATACTATTTATACTATCTGTTACTAGATAAAATCCATTACTGAGATAAATTTTTTCCTATATTTTCAGGTACCTGAATGTCATCATTTGTGACATATATAGACAGTAGAAAAAAATGCATCAGTGTAGTCTCACATATAAAACAAGCCAAGTTCCTGAGGAGATTATTCTTGATATTTTGGTTTTCACTTCTGAAGAAGCTACTTCAGGTCCTATGAAAAAGAAAGTCCCCTCCAAAGAGTTTCTTCCTCTGTCTCTCCTACCCTACAAAATTCCGGCATCACGCTCCTTTGCTACTAGTTAGGATGAAACATTATATTGATTCAAGCCAGATTGTTTTAAGTATGAACTTTGGTGCATTTTGCGTGACTTAGTTTCATTTTAGGGATATGTGTGAGGTATTGTAAGCAAAATCCCTCAGACTAAAGTTCAGAGAAAATTATATTTTAAAAAACTCAAATATCTGATGTCGTACTTGAAAAGAGTATATTTTGTATTCTTAACTTCTACCTAGTGGTATTTTGTTTTTATTTTGCAAAATTGAAACTCTCTCTGATACCTAAGCCTTAGAACTTTTGGTGAAGACCCTCATCCATGCGTTTCTCGTTCCAGTCAGTGAATGGGAGCTGCTGGAAATGGAAACTGCACTCACGACCTGTGTGCGCTGTATTTCTGGTTTTGCTCTCAGACATGAAACTCATTAGCTTTTGTGTTTCAATGCACATGCATTGAACAGGGAAGCATGTAATTATCACAACCAAGAAAGTGGTTTTAATTTTAGTAAAAAAGTAATTAAATGAGAACAAGAAAAGTTTTTGAAATTGCTCTGTAATTTTGCAATGTATCTTTCTTTACATTATTTACTGGATACCAATAAATGACTGTTTTATTTTAACAGGCAATTTGCTGCTGGTAGTGTGTTTCCCTTCCAAAAGGTAAGAATCTTTTAAGAAATATTATATAAAATCATCATGGCCTCTGATTTATAACTTTGAAGAGCCTATTAATTTAAAAGCCCCATGGATGACAGCTGTGTTGTTCAAAGGGAAGGAGATTTAGAATTAATTATATTAAGCACAAGATTATTGTTCATGGTGCAGACATTATGTATAAAAAACAGACTGGCTCTTTTTGTAAGAATAATTAACCTGGTGATTTGAAGAGAGATACCTGTTGAAAAATGCAAAGAACACAGTTTAGTTTGGTCACATTTATTTCAGTTCTGGATGCGTTTTGACAGTGTTCTTGGAAAGACTAGCTGCTTGGGGTTATGGCTACAGCGTTTGATATTTTGGTTTCTTCATTATTTGTTTGGTTGGAACTAGAGAATCGCCTCCTTCATTTGAAAGTTAAAAAAGTGGCTGTCTCTTCAAGGCAATATTTACCACTAAAACTATTTTTACTTGAATTTAATAACAGTGTTGTCTATGAGCTAAATGATATCACTGACTCAGTTTAGTATTTAATTTTTCAAGAAGTCTATGAGATTGAAAAGTAACCTAGATGTTTGAGTTTTGTGTCTTTTATACTTTATTATTTAGCTGGAAATGGTTACATTGTGGGCTGATTTCTCAGTTTATGTCTCGAAGCATTTCAGTCAGACACTGATACATGAAGAGGTATTATTTACAAGGTACAGGGATAACACTGTGACTTTGTCTCTCTAAAAATCCATGGTGCATATCTTTAAAAGACACCCTTCATTAGCCTTTGTTGCAAACATCAATCTCTATTACTGTTCTTGGTACCATGTCTCAGTTGTTTATATTTGTTGGTGGACTGTCATTACTTCTTTATTTTTGTACTTTTGAATGCTGTCAATAGAGATATTCATTGTCTTTAGGGTTTTCAAACCCTGCAGTCGGTTGTAGTAACTGAGTAGCTTGTATGTGTAATTACGCTGTTAAGATCAGTCAATTTGTAAATGATAACACTTTCCTCTGCAAAATAGATATTTCTTTACATGGTCTGGATTTCATGCTCAGGTAATGTTATTAAGCCTGGTGGATAGTATGAAAACCAAAACCATCATACCCAGTTATTTCATGAACAAAGAAATGCACTGAAGCAACACCATTACTTTTAAAAAGCCCTGTGCTATTAAGGTGGAAGTTCATAAAACTTAAACAAGTGATCAAAAAAAAAAAAAAATCCTCAAAAGCAAACTTCACCAATTTTTCCCTGTCCTAGTATTAGCTATGGTAAAATCACAAAGAAAATTTATTTTTTTTTTAATTGAGCTAGGTAAACAACTTTAAAAACAAATGATAAACTGAAGTTAGCTTAAAATTGTAAAAATAGTAAATTTATTTAGGAGTAGCAGAGGCATTGGTAGTGTGGACAAGTAAACACTAGTAAGTTACAGCTGAGTTGAAGAGACCAAGGAAAGTTAGCTTCCAGGAGGCCTTAGGAGGAAATAGGGAGAACTGTCTTGAGCCAAAGTTTATTGGAGCAGAAAAAAAAGTAGGTTGTAGCATCTCATTGGCTGGGTTTTTGTTGGTGAGGAGAAAATCTTCCTTCCCTTTCCTCCTGCTGGGTTATGTAAATCGAGCTTTGTCCTTGGAAGAAATCCAACAGACCTTGGAAAATGCAAGGCATATTCTGTTTAGAACCTCCAAAAAGCAGCAAGTGATGGTATGGAGAACCCCCACTTCAGGCCTTTCCACTCTTAAATGAGGTTTCCCATATTAATTTTCACAATGTAATATAGGTTATCATAGTCAGTGTTCAGAGTACATTGCACAAAGATATCAAAAGCCCTGCTCATTTTTTTTTTTTTTCCTCTCTCCATACAAATGCTATGTGAAAAGAACACAGACTTTGTGGTCAATTAAAATTAACTTATAAACCAAAGTCCATCTCCTACCAGCCAGCTGTGTACCCTCAGACAAGTTACTCCATGTCACTGAGATCTTTTTATAATTTTTCAGGCTGAGTAAATATTTCTAATACTGCTAGACTGCTGTAAAGATGCTGAAAGCGGGCTGTTCAGCCACAGGTGTAACTTGGAAACCACGTTGGGTACCAAAATGTTAACAGAGCAGCCCCGATATAAAACGGGTTCCTGGCTGTGGGTCCTCACCCGCACGCTTAAAAGGGACTTATGAATACTCCACTGCAGGCACACACAAAAGGTTCATAAAAGGTTTATTTACAAGGGAAAGGAAAATGAGGAAATGTACAACTCAGGGAGAAAATATGGAAATAAAGTCTTTAATGTGTCCTACCCAATCCGCAGACCTGGAGACCCAATGGCATTCTGAGAGCTGGCCGTGCTGTGCTGTGAGCTGGCAGAGAGCCAAAAGGGAAGCCATCCCCCCCAAAGCCCACATGTCTGGTTTTATACCAAACCTGGCTGCTTAACCTCACCCTCAGGTTCCAGAAACCTTCCCTTTGGTGGTGATGGGATTTGTCTTTCCCAATATCCTGATGGCTTTGGCCTGGGGTGGGGGTGGAGTCCACAAAGCCTGTATGGAATTAGCTTTAGGACAGCCTTTTCCCCCTAACAATTTGTCAGATTCCTTACTTTCCTCTAAGAATTAAAGTCTCTTTATGTATACACAACCACAGATACCTTGTTGTTTTTATTTGATTAAACTATAACTTTATGGTATACTTTTCCCTTTTTATTTCTGTTGTGTATGTAAACTTAGCCTTGGGTGCACTGACCTGATGGGAAATTGATGTTTTGAAAATGAAGGCATAGTAATTTGCTAAACTCTTTGTAAGGATGTTATATGCTGTGGGTGAAGTCCCAGTACATACTCAGAGGATTGCCCTACAGGCAATTTTGAAGCAAAAACGACTTTCATTTTAGTAATTCTTTTCTTTACATATCTTAAATACTGCTTTCCTTTCCCTCAGTGTCCCTTCTTAGAATATTTGCTGTTCTAAGATAGCTGCTTCACTCTATACTGGAGATGAAGGACCCTGTTCTTGCTGCTTTTATTCTTTTATCTAGGAAAACATCTTCACTGCAATCCTTTCTCTAAAACACTGCTGGGTAATTGGATAGTTAAATAGCTGAAAATGGTTCAATAGCCTTCCTAGGTATATTTACATTTTAATGAGCTTCTATAATGGCTTAACCTAAATGTGAGGGAATATGATGATTTCTGTGGCATGGGGAATAATTTGAGGCCAAAAGTCTATCCCAGGCAGCCCTATCAACTATAAAATGTAGGGCTGTTGCCTCTCTGTATTCACTGTAAAACTTGTACCTGTGTCCTGGGCTTCATATTCTTATTCTCTCCCTGCCCCCCTCCCCAACCCATTGCAGATAAAAAACTTCAAACAGTCTTCGTTTTATATCCAGGTCTCTTATGAAAAATTTAAACTCATTTTCTCCTTTTTATTTTAAATGTCCTCTGCTTTTCTCCAACCCCCTACATATTGGATTCATTTCTTTTGAAAACTTTAATAGTAACTTACTTTTTAATCTTGTTTTACTTGTCACAAATGTTCATGCACCTTTGCCGAACAATTATGTCAAGATTGGACGGTATACTTAATACTTCTTGTGTTTCTGATCAGGAAATTGAGGGAGTGGTGGCTTGGCTAAAGTATACAGAATAAAGAAGGGTTAGTTCTAGGGCTTGAAACAACAAGTTCAGTGCAGTGATGCCCACATTACTCTATCACAGGAGAGCAATGCAAATACTATTTTCCTTCTATGGATTTATTCATACATAAGTAAGTAGAAAGAAGAAAACCAAGCAAAATGCACGCACATGGTACAGTGACTCAGCTTTTCAATAAGTCAGACTCTCTCCAGGCTACTTGCCAGGATAAACTCCGTGTTGACAAGGAGTTTGATTAGAAAATATATGTATTTATAGCAAAAAGCCAAAAATGAAAAGAGTTTACAGATGATAAATGAGATATTCATTTTAAAAAGAAATCTCTGCTTGAATAATGGAATGTATATATGATATTGCTAAGGTTCTTGAGCACACAGAAGACCCTGCATGCTACATTCTGCTGGTCACAGCTAATTCTGGTAAGAAAAAAAAGACAGTGGCTTCTCCTGAGAAAATGTTAATTTATCTTTCAATGTCATTCCAAGTTCTTTAATGATAAAGAATTTTAAATCTTTGATATTTATTGATTTTATCTCGGTGTTTGGTTTATTTTCAGTTATGATTGAAGGCTGTCTACTGGGTTCTATTCCTTCCAGAAATACCTTCTATCATCTCTGTCCTTTCATCTCATAACTATAAAATTCCAGTGGTCTGCCTCCCAGAATCAAAGATTAGCAACATTCCATGTCATGAAGAAGTTCTCCCCAGTGTGTCTAATGGATGTTTTGCATTTGCTTTCTTGATTATTTCTTACAGTAATTCTACACTAAATTTGATAAATTCACATTTAAGTTTAACTGCTCAGGAAGGAAAGGTCATTCATAAGGGACATTTTAAATTGTCCACGAAGTGAGTTTATCTAGGATTATATGATTAGAAGTTAGGTAGATGTGGCTTTCATTAGGAGGATTACAGCTATAAAGTGAACTTTGGTGAATGTACTTCATTTTTTTCATCATTCAGTATTCCCCCAGAAGACTGAAAAATCCAGACAACTCTTCTGGGTTCTAGAAACAACCCTTTCCCAGGCATTCATTTCTTTATATCTAGAATGCCCGCTCTCGCACACATTCTTTAAAACCTACATCAGATGATATTTGTTGCCTTACCTTATGCAAAGATACTTCTCCCTTTTATTTTTCGATCATTACTCCCAATTATTTTCAGCGACCATGAAGGTGTCTCTTGAGCCCTGGTGCTTTCATTCTGAATCGAGTCCTACATTTCTTTTTACCTTTTAACTTTTGACATATTTTCATTGGTAATTTGGTCATTAGCATATTTATGAGATCTAAAGTTTCAAGTAAAGATCACTGTTTCAAGTAAATATTGAAAGCAAAAAAGAGATAAAGTTT